AGCTACCACTGCCTTTCAGGTGAAGCTTAATGTTGGACGCTCCACATCCATAATTCAAATTTAATATATAAATGGAACAGATTATGAAAAATCTCCGTTCTCTGCTTTCCTGCCCTGCATTCATGCATGCATCTCAGCAGTGCTTAAGAGGTTCATTTACACTTTTAGTAGATCTTTTTTCCTCTTCTCACAATATATGTAAAGTTTCATTACAAACAAATGGCAAGCAAGGGGAGCCAAGAAGAATGACAATGTCTACAGCCCTTGTTTTGCTTGCCAGGAAACCACTTCATCGGTGAAAGTTAATGTATTTAGCTCGGGAGCTTGCAGCAAAAATATTCTAAATCTTCCCTATTGCAGTGGAAATTGTCCGCATGGAAAAGTCTGCAAAATGCCCGAAGGCAGCCCAGCTCATCATCATAGGCATCCTTCAGTCTCAAAAGACTATGGTAACATGCTCTGAATCGAGGAGTATCCTCTCCAAAGCATGAAGCCTGGGTAAAATAATATGGAGGACAGGCTGTTACCCAATATTTACCATATTAGGGCCTGAGATACAATCAGAGAACTTGAGAACTTCGCGGGCCTAATGGATCCCCTGAGATTGGTGGAGCTATAGATAAGAAAATTTGCAGAGCGGGATCTTTATCATGGCCTTCCTCAAGTGAACAACTTCCAGGGGTGCCGAACTAAAAGTTCAATCATTTGGCAACATTGCCATGCTGCAGTTAGAAGCTGAAGTCGAGATCTGGTGGGTAACAGCTGGGGGCAGGGAGGCTGCAAAACAGCTGGAGAAAGCTTTGAATCTCAAAGGTAAACGACCATGCTTGCCAAAAGGAGTCCAGCATCATCAAACGGTATCAACTGGCAGCTGCACACGCCTGAAGGAGGCTCCTCCACCAAAGTCTGTCCTGTTATTTGTTTTTACTGTTTTTCCCCAACCCCAACCCCTGATTTTCAACTAGAATCTACTCCCCACTTTCATTTTTTCTCCAGGCTCCAGAATGATGCTACATTATGAGAAATTTTAAATGGTGACTGCCTGGGCATTGATCAAAGAAATGTCACCAATGCTGATAGACCCATTTGAGGGGAGAAGACACAGCCCATGGCCAGGCCCAGAAAATCCCCATCACTGTTTTCTGGGGCAGAGAAAGGTTGTCTAGCACCAAGCTGGCGGGAGGGAGGGAGATTCAGAACAGACATCAGGCGAGCGTCCCTAGCAAATAGATTCTGCCCATACCCTGCCACCATCCAAAATAACTTCCCCCATCCCATCTTAGATGGTGGGGACAGCCAAAGAAAAGCCTCTGAATATGGTATATCTCAAATAAAAGAGGCAGGCTTTTCCAGGTGCTCCTCCAGACCCCAAGTTGTTACCAGCTCTAAAACCAACTACCAGCCTACTGGAAATCATCTTCTCTCAGCCTTAGGCCGGAATTCTTTGTATGTAGGTGGATCTCATTTAATTGGTCACTTAACTGCAGACAGGCTGGCTGTTGAAGGACACACCTTTTGAGTACAGAGAGTCCTAGGTTCAGCACCTGGCATTTCCAGTTAGGCTGGATGAAGTAATGGCGGGGGGGGGGCGGTG